ATGTCACACCGAAATTGAAAACATAAGCAGATCAACCAAATTTTTATAAAATAAAAGCTCACATAAATTCCATCAAGAAATTTGCGGATATCCTTGTTCTTCACGTGACATTTCTGTTCAAAGAAAATTCTTAGCCACAACATGAAAGAAAGTGCGAGTGGCTGGGCATGCATGCAAGCTTCATAAGGTGCTCATATGTTTTTTGAAAACAAAAGTTGGGTTCGTATTGATGTATGTATTTCTACAAACCTGGTCAGCAGACCGGGAGACAAGTTCAATGTCGTTTCCATCTAGGATGAGTTCATCCTTGACCCTTTCAGACCGGATAATCGACACACGTACCTTCCAACATGTCAACCTTTCTCACCAGAAGTAACCAAACACGAAAAAAAAACATTAAAAAAAAATGGATCACCATAACCGCCTACATCATCCACAAAAGGTTAACATTAATATTTTTTTCACAATTCACAACATTGCTGACTGGCAACAGTAACTGTATCAAAACTAAAACCAAATGAATATCTTTCTATTAGGTAAAAAGTTGATCCAATTAGACCCAAGAAAGAATCGTAAAGCCCATGGGCCATGGGCCAGAGTGAAAACAAAGAATAACAAAACTAGCAAGAGAGCCTGAGAAAGAGAAGAGGAGTGGAGCGAGCGAGGAAGAAGAAGAGAGAAAGAGAGAGACAACAAGAAAATTGTGTTTATATACTGGTAGCTGAAGGGTTGAAGATGCCCTAAATCCTAAAATATCATAATGTGTTGGACTGGCCAGAGATAATCATGCGCTTTTTTCTAATACAGTCATAATAATTTTTCTTTTTGTATAAGAAAACTTGTAGCTATATAACCATTAAAAATTTTATAATACCAAAGAATAATTAATATATATGTACAGTGGTTATTTCATGAGCCTATTTTTTAGAAAAGAGATAGACACGTAACAAAAAAGAGAATCACATCTAGACCTATCAAAATGATAAAAAGATTTCTATCTTAGCTCAAATTTTTTTTAGAATAACTTACACTAGTTACTCCTTGAATGTTCTGAAATTTCTCATATAACCACAAGGTGATAGTTCATTAATAAGCAAGTATTGACTTACGGACCAAGTCCAAGGTTTGATATTTGTGGTTAGTATTTCTTAAATTTTAATTATTCTCAGAATATTTATGTTGGAAAGAGTTTTTTAACCACGTTTAGACATGAATTTATATTGAGATCAGAGAAACTAGTCCAAAAATATCTTTATTGTTGAACCAAAAAAATAAAATTGAAATATTTTTTAGTCCTGAAATTTACATTCAATAAAAGATACGAATGAGGCCAGTTTTCGTAATTTTCTTATTGCATGCATACGTTAAATTTTAATCACATTCTAAGCCTTCAATATTTTAAAACCCATCTTGGAATAAAAATGTCATTTTCGTTTTCTTATTATTCATCGCTATTTCTATACATTTATTTTTTTCCTCTCATTCTTGATATTCAGATGTCCCTTCAGAGTTTGACTTCTTTGGTTATGTTGTTTTCTTTTTCTTTTTCTTTTTTTATTATTATTATTTTATTTTTTTTGAGAATGGTTTTTGTTTCTTCATACATGCATTACTTAATTACTTGATAGTCTTACTAATATTTCAGAATATATATGTTATTATAGAGTGCTAAATTTAACTATTTACTAGATGAGATTGTTTGATATTTAAAATTTCAACCATGTTATATGAAGAAAGAGGACAGTAAAATTAGAATCTGATTATTTAGGATTAAAAATATAAAATATTTGAATTATAAATCTAAATTTCAACTATTGCAATATAATTTTGAAAATTTGTAACTAATACCAATAATTTAAAACAAACTTGAACACTTGTGATATGAATAGGTTTCTCATGCTTATTTAATGATGAATCCCATACAAAAGCAAAAACATTAATCATGAGAAATTTTAATTCAAATGCCACTCGTACGTGTTCGTAGAAAGGAGAGAGACGGTTGGCTTTCTCCCCTCACACAGACGGGACAGCCTTCACGCTTCCTTGTCACCACCCATTAAGGCTACCCGTCCGTATATATATATATACACACCATAGAATATCACAAACCAATTTTTCGTTTATGTTTTTGAGATATTGATGAAAATTAAAAAAATATTTTTTGGTGAGCTTGATTCTTAGACGTTAGATTTCTATGAATCTGGTGGTGATGTTGGTGAAAATTAAAAAACTATTTCCAAAAATTATTTTCTGGTTAGATTCGTTAGAGCATTTTTATGAGAGAATTGTTTTCATAATTTCCCAGAAAGCGGATAGTCTCTCCAAGCGTAATTTTTTGTGTTACCACAAAATGCTAAAAAAAAAAAAAATTGCTTTTTCTTTCACTATTGTTCCACGCAGATAAAAGCAAATAAAATATTAAATGGAGAGTCTGATGAATCAGAAAAATATTATAAGCTTGTTTGACTTGATTTTGATTCTCTTTGGTTTTGTTCTCTTTCTCACCTTCATAATTACTATATGTTTTAGGTTTTATTTATATACACATGAAGAATACAATCTGTCAAAAAAATGCAATTATTTTCCTAAAATGTATGGTGTTCTTAGATAGAGTTATGTTCTCCGTTTTTAGGTTTTATTATGGTACTGGTTCATGCAACTGTCAATCAGCTCACTTCACCTGATTTGAGTAAATAATCTCTCTTTTATTACACAATAAAAATTCCATTTAATGAATGATGAAACCCCAAAAACCTATCACGTTCAAAAAAAAAACTTTGTCGCAAATAGTTTTCTTTCCGTCTGATTCCTCGAGGTTACAGAATCTTTGATTCTCACCACGTATAACAATTTGAGTGGTTCGCGTGTAATTATCTTATTACCACTACATCTTACGAGAAAATAATATAAATCATATCTTAAAATTTTACTTAATATTTTAAGTTTTTAAGTGAGATAATCCATTTAACATAATAACAGAATCTTAATAATCAAACGGTCACAAGTTCAAATCTTACCTTTCTTATTTATTTTTTTTTAATTAATTAAGCATAAGGTGATATAGGTTTATATAAATTTCAAGTCCAAAATACTTACACCTTGGGGATGGGATGTTCTCTTGACACTACAGACGCTAGTAACAGAGGTACTTTAAATTTGTGTCCACTGGAGAATGGTATATGTTGCAAAAATTCATTGTTCATTATCAAATGGATATTTTATTGCTCATTAACTAGGGCCAGACAAGATTGATACAAGTCCAGACTTACCACTCTGTTCATGAGCCAGGACCACGCATTAAAATCAAAAATCAATACCCAACCGTTCTTCTTTCCTTCTCTTTCTCCTTTCCCGCCATTATGTGTATGAGCTTCACTTCTTCCGATCCCATGGGATTGAAGAAAGAAAGAAAGAACAGCACAGAAAGATGTTTTTGTCGGACGTGGGATTGTTAGCAACTGGGATGACATGGAAAAGATTTGGCATTGCATCACAGTACTTTCTGCAATGAGCTTCGTGTGGCTCCTGAAGAACATCCTGTGCTCCAGACTGAAGCTACCCTGAGCCCCAAGGATAAAAGGGATAAAAGATGTTTTTGTCTGTAATTTTCATTTTTGGCCATACTTGCCAGGTATCGTGCTGGATACTAGTAACAGTTCCCATCTATGAAGGCCATACAGTTCCTCGCAATCCATACGCTTGATCGTTGCTGAAAGAATTTAACAAATGCCTCGTTGATGATCCTTACAGAGAATGTGGGCTCATTCACTGTAACTGCTGAACGGGAAATTGTTCGTGACTTTAAGGAGAAGCTTGCGTATGTGGCCCTTGATTATGAGCAGGAACTTGAAACTGCTGAAAGTAGCCATATATGAGCTACCTGATGGCCAGGTTATCACCCTTGTTGAACTCATTAGCATGACAGCACCTGGAATTCACAGAATCACTTACAATTCGATCTTGAAGTTTTCAAGAAGCTATATATCAGGGGAGTGTTTTTTTTTTTTTATCATTTTCCTTCTTTTCCAATTGAACTTATTTGTGTTAACGTAAGCAAATGAAATGCATTGAGTTGTTCTTAAGACTGAGTTGTGCCTTAGAAGGAGAAGTGGAAGCCCTCATTTTTTACGCAGACAGTGAACTTGTCGAAATACATCTGGTGCAGTACATACACCTCGCAGATGCTAGAAACATTCCCAGAGAGATGTAGTTGGAGTAGGGTCAGGGGTTGCCGTCAGTTTTGGGGCCAGGCCATCTCTGAGGAACGAATTGCATATTTGCAATAATGCTGTTGAAAGAAATCATGATCAAGGAAGATATAGCACATATTCTTCTTGCAGAAAGTTGATTGAAAAAGTTACTGGGAACTAGGGACATTTATCTATTGTGCAGAGGAATAAAAGAATAATTCCTAAGCTTCTTTCCCATTCAGCAACAAAGAACAAAAAGGACCAGAATCTTATCATTAGCCAAAAACACATTCAATACCTAATGAAATTCATTGGCGTGGGGAAATTGTTTCCCTCTTCAACACCATTGGAGATGACTGGACAAGCATATGGTGGAAATCTCCTCTTAGTTCTTAATTCAATGTGGGTCAAAAATTCTATAAAATACCGGACCAGCTATTATTCTTCATATCAGTAATTTGCTATTAAAAAAATATCCACACCGATGCCAACATCATTGGGCACAGCTTAATAAAAGAACACCATGAAAGAAGCATAGAGATTTAATCTCCCCAATTCAAGCACAAAGCAAGAAAAGCAAAACTAATTAAGTCTTCTAGTTAAGCTTTGGTAGGTGCTGTTTGCAATAAGAAAGATTAAAATAGCAAATCCCATGGCACACCGAACATTGAAAACATAAGCAGAACGACCAAAACTTTATAAAATGAAAGCTCCACAAAACATCGATAAAACATCTTTGCATCCAGGGTATTAATAGAACAGGAACAGAACTACCAGAGAAACAGAACTACAACTGCTGCTCCCCTTAACTCACTGATGTTCCTCAACCACAGTTCCCTTCTCACTCACATAAATTCCATCAAGAAATTTCCGGATATCCTTGTTCTTCACGTGACATTTCTGTTCAAAGAAAAATCTTAGTCACAACATGAAGGAAAGTGCGAGTGGCTGGTCATGCAATCTTTCACGTACAAATAAGGTGCTCATATGTCTTTTTAACAAAGTTTGGTTCAGATTCATGAAAGTATTTCTACAAACCTGATTGATCAAAGCGGCAGACCGAGAGACAAGTTCAATGTCGTTTCCATCTAAGATGAGTTCATCCTTGACCTTTTCAGATCGGAGAATCGACACACCTTCCAACATGTCAACCTTTCTCACCTGAACTAACCGAACACAGACAGCATTAAAAAACTGAATCACCATAACCAACATCATCCATAAAAGGCAAATAGTAATTTTTTTTCTACATGCTCACAATTAACAACGTTGCTGACTGGCAACAAGAACTATATCAAAACCAAAACGAAATGAATATATTGCTATTAACTACTCCGCACTTAAACATCGTTTAAGTTATTTGAACACCTGTACTAGGTTTCAAATCAAACAAGTCCAATAATGGCATTCTCATTATATTTATCCTATAAAACCAAAGCAGATAAAAAATAAAACACCTCATGAACTATCATTTAGCAAGTAAATAGACTCCTTCCTACTAGAATTAAATTTAAAGATTAAAAATAAATAAATAAATAAATATTCCTTTTCAAACCCAAAATCAACAACATAAAAATATTTACAGAACAAGCATGAAACACTAATACTATCCTTAAAAACCAAATGGGTTTCCCGAAAAAATAAATAAAAATAACAGAAATAATAAATAGTACCTTCTTCTCCCCAAGAAAGTTCCTGATCTCGATGGCAGTATTGCTGCTAGTGATGGAGGCATTGATGGGAAAGTGAGCATACACAAACCTCATCTTGTATCTGTACCCCTTGGTAACCCCAGTAATCAAGTTACCCACATGGCTAAGGGCAGTCCTGATAGCAGCACTGGTCTTTCTTGATCCGAACCAACCATCGATCTTCAGCTTTCTCTTCCCTTCCTCGTCTTTGATCAACTGGAAATCAAGATTCAAATGCTTGAAGTTTCTGGTCAACTTGCCTCTTGGCCCTTCGACTTCTATAATTCGGGCGTTGATTTTGATCTTAACCCCGTCAGGGATATCCATGCTTTCTGAAGAGAGAATGGTCTTCATCTTTGCTGAGCAGAAAGAGGCAGCTCTGGATTCTTTCTTTCTCTCTCACCGTTTGCCACAGAACCCTAACTAGAAGAGAAAATTATGTTTATATAGTAGTAGCTGAAGTGTTGAAAATACCTAAAGCCTAAAATATTATAATGGGTTGGACTGACCAGATCCAATTAGGCCCATTTTTCTAGCCCAGTTATAATGATACATATAAGAAAACTTCCATTTTAGTCCTAAAATTTACATTCAGGAAAATATATGATGCCAGTTTTTAAACTTTTCTTGTTGTGTTTAGACGTGACCCTTAGAATTTGGAATCTTTTGCAGTTTAATCCTTAATTTTGGGTTACTTGATAGTATTACTAATCTTAGTATTAATTCTTATCGTTGTTATTGTAGTCATCCGTTGTCCCCACAAATCATAACCATAGCTATCGGAACCAACCACTATTCATGGAGTCATTCTTCTTTACTTGTTATTTTTTTCTTTTAAAAAAAAAACTGTTAAAAATTTTAAATTTTAATCCCATTGTAAGTTAATTATTCTAAACACAAATTGGAATTAAAAATATCACTTTTTTTTTAATTATTCATCCCTATTTTTATATATATATATTTTTTTTTTCCTCTCATTCTTGATATTCAAATAGGCATTTAGAGTTTGACTTGTTTGGTTATGTTATTATTATTTTTTTAGAATGAATGAGAATGGATTTTATTTCCTCATGTTTGATTTTTCCTCTATATATGGCTATTGATGTACTAGTTTTCGTAGCACATACTTTATTTAATTACTTGATAGTCTTACTAATCTTTTAAAATATTTATATTATTAGTAAGATTGTTAACGGATCGGACTCGGATCGGATCATAGTGAATCCGATTTGTTTAATTAAACAGATTGAATAAAATCTTATGAATTCAAATCAAATTTTGACGATGTGAGTCTAAACTCGGATCGGATTCAAAACTCTATTGGATTTATTATTTGGTTTTTGAAAAAATAATGTTTACTATATTTAATATATTGCTTTGATATACAATATATTTCAACTACTATATGTATAATAACATATATTAAGATAATATTTCATCTATCAATTTTATAAAAAAATTCAAAATATCACACAATTCGACAGACACAAAATCAAATAATCTTAATAAAAATTTGTTTTGAATTAGGTATGAGGTACAATAAAACTAAAATAAACAAATAATAATTTTTTATTTTTATTTTTTTTGCAAAAAAAAAAAGAAAAGAAAATCTATTAATATTATCATATATTTTTAATAATTGGTTCGTGTATAAAAAGTAGAAATGCAATGAGTTATGTAAATAAAATACCATAGGTTTTTTCTTTCAGTTTGAAAACCAATCACTTATAGTAATTATTGCCTTCTCAATATCCGAAAGTCAAAACGCATGATATTCATCAATAACTCTACCTTCTATATTGAATTTTTACAGGATGCAAGTCGACATGGATCAATTTTAAAATATATAAACTATAGTCTTACTTTTAGCTTTAATTTTTTGCATGAATCGCATAAATTGAATCTCTATATATTAAGTTATGCTCAAAATATTTGAGTATGTTTGAATCAGAATTTTTTAAAAAAATTTGTTTATGAAAGGAACTCTAACTGCATTAATGTTCTCCAAATTGCATTATATTTCCTTTTTTTACCAGCACTCTTTTTTTATTCTCTTCGATATTTCCTTAATTCTAGTAAATTGGTCTTTTCTTCTTTTTTTTTTTTCTCTTTTTCTTGCTCTTTTTTTTGTAATTTTTCTCTTTCTTTTCTTTTTTTTTTTTTACAAAACTATGGTAATGACAAATATAATAACACCAATTTTCGAAAAGATATATAAGTCAATTTATCTTGAAATTGAATTAAGAAAGTAACAAAAAATTTATGTATTTTTTTGAAAATACAGTCATCATTGTGGAAGGATATACGTTAGTTAAATTTTATAATAAATAAACTCTAAATTTCAACATAGTGTCGTATTTATATTTTTTTTATATTTAAAATTTTTAATTTTTTTAAATATTATATTTATTATAAAATATTATAATCAAACTTGGATAATAAAAAAAATGTTTACTAAATTTTTTTAATTACATCATATTCAAATTGAATTCGGATCAAGATTCGATCCATTTACACTCTTTATTATTAGGGATTGGTATTTGACTATTTATATTATTACGGATTGTTTGCATTCAAGGAATCCTCTTTCTCCAGAATTCCCCTATATCAATCATAGAATTAAAATGCAAAATATTCAAATTATAAACCTAAATTTTAACAATTGAAATATAATTTTGAAAACTTTAACTAATACCAATAACTTAGAACAACCTTGAACACTTGTGATATGAAAAGGTTTCTCATATTCATTTAATGATGACTCCGACGCAAAAGCAAAAACATTAATCATGACTAATCGATGAATAATTTAAATAACAATGCTACTTTGATTTTGTTATCATTTCTTAATTTTTCTTTCAGCAAGTAGTTCGGCATAGTTCCTTTTTTTTTTTTTTTGACATTTTTGTTGATCATCTTTTTCATTAAACGTAATATTTGATTATATAGGTAACAATGTGAAAAATACAACGTAATATTTAAAAAACTGTGCTTTCTTCAATTTATAAATGACAGAAATCCATGTTTTATCATAATTAATAGGCAATCATAATTATAATTATGAAAAAGGGATGATTAAAAATACACCATTCATTAAAAAAAATAACATTATTATAATATACTTTATAGCTTTGCATCTCTAAACATTTCAGAAATCTCATGTTTAGTTTTATTTATTTTATTTCCTTCTAATTTTTGCCAATTACATTACTTCAAACAGCCAACTTTAAGAATTTCCCAGTTACATGTATGTATCTCATCATGCATGGAGTTTGTGATTTCTGAAGTAGAATAGAAAATAGCATAGGAATCTGAACACAATAAAAGGAATCATTTTTACTAGAAAAAGGAAACAATTCATTTTGTCCAACAGCCCGCAAATTCTTTTTTCTTTTTCTTTTTTTCTTTTTTTTCCCTACAAAGTCCAGAAATAGTGAAACTAAATGAACAACAAACATGCCCATTAAGCAAAAAAAGTGGGGTAAAAACTTGAAACAAAAAGCTAGTGATACACAGCCACATTCCTCGCACTAATAATATATCACAATTTAGATAAATCCTGTACAAGGCCAGGCCTCCTCCCAAAAAACCAAAAAGAAAAGAAGAAACCCTCGCATCAATCCTCCTTCAGGACCAAGCAGTCGTCAACAATCTTCAGTAGCTTGCACATCCCAATCGTCTTCTTCATCCTCAAGCAGCATGTACTTGCTGAAATGGTTGACCTTGAACTTCCACTCTCCTTTAACAGGGTCATAAGAAACAAATTCGGCGCCTTGGTCTTCAGCCTTCCTTTTGAGCATCTCCTTGTACTTCTCGATTTTTTGTCCTTCTGTGAACTGACGTCCAGTCTTCTTGTCAAAGCATTTTATGTTGAGAAGAGTTACCTCAGCAGGCTTGTTGAGACCCTGTCCAACAGGTGGTTTCTTGCTATCATCCATGTACACAATAACTTCCCGGTTATTAAACTGAACAAGGGACTCAAGATCAAGCCTTCGAACATCTGTTTCACCCAAGAACTTGATGCTTCCATAGCCATGCCTTCCAACCACAAAATCCCTAACATGTCGGCAGAACCCTGGCTTGGCCCTCTCTTTAGCAGCCAGTTCTTGGATACGAGGCTCAGTGAAATAGTCAGAACGTCGTAGTTTAGGCATTAGCGCCTCAATATCGGCTCCATGCTCATACACAATTGCAGCCTCACCAGCTCTGTGACCACTAAATGTCATGTAGGAATCCTCTTTCTGAGTCACATGATCCTCATGGACTCCATTAGGTTTCTGGTTGACTTTAACATGTGGAGCTTGCTCCTTGATTACACCAACTTCAGCTGAATTTTCTGCACAATAAATAGGCATGAGCACAAGGAAATAAAAATAAAACCAAGCAGCCTAAATCCATAAGAGGGAGGGACTACAGAAGTTATTAACCAAAAACTTTCTTCTTTTTGGATAAGCTAAAGAAATTGATTAATAAAATGGAACCCAACACAGCCTACAACCTCATTAACAAATCCTGAGATTTTATTTGTCTGGGAGGTAAATAATGCACAAGATGTGTGGCATAAGGTAAAATTAAACATGCAATAAATGGAGAAAAGCTGTGTTTCCATGGAAAAGTGTGCCTATTGGAGAAAATAACATTAGAAGTTGAGCTCAACTTCAAGTAGACTTCCTCAGATGAAAGTTCCGAAATTGGTTGTCACATGAAGTTCAAGTAGAAGTTTGAATATACCAAGTAACCTCCCAAAAGATATTAAGCATTCAAGATCGGACTCTTCAACATATACCAACAGTAGCAGTAGTAATTTTGGACAGATCAATTTTGGGAATCATTCAGCACAAATGAAGAGAGAGGGCGCATATTACAAAAGAAACAATATCTTACTATTTTTATCACCAGCAGAACCACCATTTGAGGGACGAGCATCTTCCGATTCTGAAATTTTTCCTGGATAAAAGAAGGTACATGGCTAAATTTGGATTGTAACAGTAAAAAAAAAAGATTCCTAAAGTAATTGGATAGTAACAATACAATACAATACAATATATATAGATATATATATATATATATTTGTGTGTGTGTGTGTGTGTTTAAAGTAAAAAGAATTCTGTAACATGATAACTAGAAATATATATATATATATATATTTGTGTGTGTGTGTGTGTGTTTAAAGTAAAAAGAATTCTGTAACATGATAACTAGAAATGGAAAGAAAACAAAGCATCGTGTACTGGAATAACTGAGTCGTTGCCTATCATAGCCTTCCACATGTCAGTTCCAGTGGCCCAACAATACCAACACGCGCATATACATATACAGCAAAAGAATGATAGACCTTTAGTAGCATTATTCACTCAGAAATTTACCATTCTCATGTACAGGTGCAGATGCATTCAATGGAGATGCTTTCTCTGCACTTGCCCTTGAAGACCACTGGTCCATCGGACGAATGACCAGAGCTCTTGGGTTTTCCCTTGGAATGAATAGAGCATCTGCCTTCGGTGTACTGGGTGTTTCTTCTTCATCACTGAAAAATGGAACCTATAATGCAATAGTTGAGCAAAGAAATAAATCACTATGCAACCTCCCTGTAAATCTAGTTATAGATATGGCAATCAAAATAGCAAATTTAAGGAACAAATTTAGTAAATTTCATCACCTTTGGACCATCATGCTTAGGATAATATTTCCTCACAGGCAACCTGATTCTCCTCTGTGACAAGTGCCTAGAAGTCAATACGGATGATATTCTAACAGGAGAGGGTTTCTCAACGACCTGATAGAAAACAAAGAACCAGAATCACTGCTATTTTTCCAATTAAATTTTGTAGACACAAGGATCACAGCGCATAACACAGAAGAATAATAAAGATTTGGCAAAGCTGATTTACATTATGAAAACAAAATAAGTCAAAAATCAATGCAACACCCTAGAGCAAACAAGTTCAGGACAGGTTATAGTTACAGGCATAGTAGAAATCCCATATTGAACTGAAGGTGTAGTTCCAGCTCGACCAATAGACACTTGAGGCATTGCAGGAAGTGTTCCAAATGGATTTGTAACTGGCACTGGTTGCACAGAAAGAGCATTTTGTGCGGTATACCTGTTAAACAGGAAGTGTTCCAAGCATTATTGCAGGAAGTTATTAAGAACAAACAGGAAGCCTGTCTAGATGAAGCAACATAAGCAACACAGAGCAGAAAGGAGAAAATATCTACTATGCATGTCCATTTGGCATACATGATATGAACAACCATGGAAACATGCATACAGACAACTAACTATAGGCAGTGAAGCAAAGACTTACGATTGTCCCAAATTGCCTGATACGCCAGCAAAGCCACTTGTACCAGCTGCAAAATGGCAGATAACTAATGTCAGCAACCTACACTAAATGCTTAAGAATTAAATAATAAAAAACAAAGAATACCTGCTTGTGTCTGACTAAAGTTCAAGCCAAAAGTACCTGCACTCTGAGCTGGTTGAGATGTTTGAAACGGTGCTGGTTGAGATGGCTACGAATGAAGTGATTGTTAGTGATAAAATTTACCAAATGTGCTAACTCTGGCACTTAAATCACTCACACATATACACGTGCTGCAAACAAATCATAACAAGCTACAAAAATTGCAAAAAACAATTTCTATGTCTTGCTTTCTAATGTTTTCCATTCCACTTCCACCAATGTACACAAGCAGTAAGACCTTGAAATAAATACGAGGGATGGAACTGAAAATTTAAGTTGCTTGGGAGCAAATTAAATCTGATTATCCTCAATACCATTATTTCTGCTAATAGAATGAACAAATTAAATATTATGATAAAGGAAAAAATAACATTATATTGTTACTTACAGTCATTTGATTAAACCCCCCAAGGTTTGGAGTTATCTGAGACTGAGTGCTTGAGAAAAGGCCGCCGGTGGCAGGGCTACTGAACAAGGAGCTGGTGGTACTTGGTCCAAATGGACTGGACTGTGGAAATGCAGTCGTCTGCCCCATTGAAGGTGTGGTAGATTGGAATGAGAGAGATGGTTGATTGTTATTAAACATATTAGAATTAAATGGTGAAACAGTTCCTTGGCCTGCGGTAGAGCTAAACAAGGATGATGATGTACTAAAATTAGGTGTACTTGTTCCAAAAAGAGATGGAGATGAAGCGACTGAAAATGCAGGTGTTGCTGATGGCTGAAAGAGGTTGGATGGCGCCGAAGAGCCAAAAGGAGGGGTGGTGGTGAATGAAGGTGTAGATGTTTGTGTTTTTGGAGTAAACATGTTTGTAGTTGTTGAAGAAAATATATTTGTAGATGATTGACCAAGTCCAGTCGAAGGAGCAAAAGGATTCGGCTGTGGGGTAGATGCACTAAATCCAGTCCCGCCAGGAGCTTGACCAGGAGGAAGCGGTCCACCTGTAATTCAATATTACTGTATTAGTTATCAGAAAGCATGTGTGTGTGTGTGTGTGTGTGTGTGTGTGTTTGTCATTGTTATTACCAATGAGAATAAATCATGTCCAGAACTTGCCAAAGTAATCACAAACAAATTACCTTTGTCTCCCACTTGATAGTCCTCCCACCTTAGTTCCTCGTGGCTTTTATCTTTGTAGGCAGGCATGGCTGATATTGACTCTAATTTTCCAGCCTGTGCACCACCTTCTGCCTCAGCTGTTTCTGCATATGGTGCTGCTCTAGTTCCCGGACGTTGCCCCACAAACCCTGGCTGGGTAAAGCCAGTGTTTGCAAATGCTGATGTTGTAGGCTGGGCTCCTGCAGAACATATCATAAAAACACAAGTTATGCAATGAATTAATAAATCAGTAAGTATAAGCCCCTCAAGTTCCTTTTACTCTAGAAAAACAAATCTCATTATTAAGATAGGCCTTGCTGCAAATTGAGAACAATAGACTTAAAAATGGCTCACCAAAGGGCGAAGGCTGGGCTGGAAAAGTAGATGTAGTGCTTCCAAATGGGCTGCTCCCAAAAGCAGCAGTTGATTGGCCAAAACCTGGACTGGATGAAAACGTAAAGGATGGAGAAGTTGTAGCCCCAAAGGCAGAAGTAGTCGGAGTCCCAAAAGCAGAACCAGTCGAGTTCCCAAAAGCAGATGGAGTAGCTGAAGATCCAAAAACTGAAGTAGTGGAAGTTCCAAAAGCTCCACTACTTCCAAACAATGGGGAACTGGTGAATGCAGCTCCTGTGCTGCCAAAACCTGGAGTTGCTGTTGAGCCAAAGGCTGGAGTGGTGCTTGGGGTGCCAAAGGCTGGAGTGCTGCTTGGGGTGCCAAAGGCTTGAGCGGTGCTTGTGGCACCAAAGGGTGGTGTGGTCGTTGTACCAAAGGCTGAGGCAGTCGTTGTACCAAAGGCTGGGGCAGTCGTTGCACCAAAGGCTGGAGTACTAGCAGCACCAAATGCAGACTGAGTTGGTGCACCAAAAGGTGTTGAACCAAATAAACTAGTAGTCCCAAACGCTGGCTGAGACTGCTGATTTGTGCTGCCAAAAGGACTTGTTTGAGTGGTAGACCCAAAGCCTCCAAAGGGCTTCTGACTAAAAACAGAAGAACCTGCTAAAAAAATAAATATTTAGAAATTAGTAAAACCAGAAAATGACCCAATCAGATAAAGTATACTAATACAAACTTCAAGTGTATGTGCACACAATTGAGTGTACACATGCATATATCTGTCCAGATATACAAATGCTAGAAGGGAAGGCAGATGAAGATAGACACTGAAATCTTAGTGAGACAGTACAAAAAGGCAAGAAAACCAGGTTATGAAGAATAAACAAGCAAGTATAGGTCTGCCAGAGACAACAAAGAGTAGTCAAAACACATGTGCAGGTGCAAAAGATGAAATAGCAAAGACATCGTATCATAATCAAATTTCATCATCTGCCAGTTTCAATGAAGGAAACAGACAAGGATGAAACAATGAGCATAAAGAACTAGGGCAAAAGTGCAACAAGTATTCAAAGTTATTAAAAGGATAACCAATATACTGTGCAACTAAATCACTCCTAGAACACTTGCTTTTCTAAGAAATGAAAAACTTTGATCTGCTATAAGGCTTCGAAGACAAATTTTTACCACAACTCTGAGTTAGATCAACAGTCCATACATATTTACACTACAAACACAACAATCTCACTTCTATAGAGCAAAATCATAACCCAAGGATAGATAGAGGGTGGAAAGGACAACAGTTGTTGAAATAAAAACAAATGCTTACCCCCAAATGCCGATGACGACGAAGCACCAAAAGCTGGGGTAGTAGACGCTCCAAAAGCAGGTGTTGAGCTACCAAAAGCATTTGTTGTAGAGAACGAAGACGTTTGGGTTGCACCAAACACGCCAGTAGACGTTCCCCCAAACATAGAACTCCCTGTTTGTGCACCAAAAGGAGTTGTTGGACTACCAAACGGTTTCGGCGCAAAAGGATTATTACTTGCATTACTAGTCTGACCAAAAACGGGCTGTGTCATCCCAAACGGACTATTAGATGACTGCCCAAAAGCTGTAACAAAACACAAATTTCAACTCACTAGTACACATATTACACATACAGAATCACACTAACAAACAACCACTGATTACATTACCCACAAGCACAAAAAAAAAAAGAACATAGTATGCCAATAATCATCTGTCCAATAAAATTAGTGACCCAAAATCACCAAAAAAAAAAAAAAATGCAATGTAATCAACTATAAGTTCATTTTCATTCCGCATAACTTTTTGCCTTTTTCCTCTAATAAAAAACAAAACTCGAAATTTATATTTAAAAAACAAAAAAAAAAAAAACTCGCCAAAAAAAAAAAAAAAGCATTCAACGAAACAAAAATATCAAAATTGTAGAAAAAATAATCAAAAAATCATTGAAGAAGAGAAAAAATAGCTTACGATTACTAGCGCCAAACATCCTTCCTTTTATTGATCAATCCTCTACCTCCTGCACATGAGCAAAATCAAAAGTAATTATCACTAATTACATTACTAATCACTGAATCAAAAATCAAAACCGAACGAAATCGAAATCGATAATGTTACGATTAATAAGGGATTGCAACAGATTCAAAATTACGAATCGGAATAATAAAAATTAATGATTAAAATTAAAAGAAAATTAGATAGGGTTTAATGATTAGTTACCTGGAACTGGTAATGGAAATTAGAGGATTAATTTGGATCTGAAAGAGAGAGAGAGAAGACGAGGAGGAGTAGGAGGAGGAAGAGTAGGGAAGGGTTTGAGTGTGTGAAAAATAGAGTAGCGTTTTGGCTTTTTTCTTTTTTCTTTTTTATTTTTTCTTTTTTTTCTCCCTTGCAGAGAGAAACAGAGGAAACTTCGCTGATTTGGCGAGAAATAAAATAGAGAAAAGAAAATGGACGGGCGAAAGGACTTTTATAGGAATCAAGAAAAAGAAGAGTGTAGCGTTGTTTTTAAGTCTTATAGAGGGTGCTTTTTGTAATTTTGGTGGAGAGCAGCGTTAAAGTGCTGTCAATCCTAAACCTGGAAGCCAAACGTCACCTAAGACAGCTTCAGTTTGAGGTTTTTTTTTTTTTTGGGAAAGAAAAGGAAATGGTAGTGAATTTTTTAAAAACGTTAGGATAAATCTTTTAAAAAATGTAACTTTCGGGAGAAATGTGGAGTAAACTACAATTTAGTCCTTCTATTTTTAGTAACTAATTAATTAGTCTCTATTTTTCTAAATATATTTATAACTTAATGTTTTTTATTATTTTCAATTTTTTTATTTTAATGAATAGTAGAAGTAAAAAATATAAAAAGATTGACGAGAAAAGAATGAATTTTTTGAAAAAAAGATAATATTAAATTAATCATAGTCAATATTAGTCAATGACTAATTAATTAGTTTTTTAATTAAAAACTTATCCTATCATAGAAAAAAATGGTATGAATTATACAAAAAATTTTATAATATACAAAGAGTAACTAGTAACATGTACAATAATTACTCCTTAAGCGTACTTTGAATAGAGAGATAGATAATATATATAAAAAGAGAGAAACATGAGAGAGAAAATAAAAAAATTTGAGCGAATATGGAAATTTTCTTATCACTTTTGGTGGGTATGAATATAATTTCTCTTTTGTTTATGTCTATCTCTTTCTCTTTAAAGTGAGTCCAAAGAGTAACTAATGTACATGCCACCAATTACTCCTTGTGTATTATAAAATTTCTCAAATTATACTCTCTATGTCCTTAAATGATAGTCATTTTTTATTATTCACATTTTTAAAAAACTTATTATCAGTATTTTTAACAATATTTTCCTAAAATATCTTTTCTTATTTAAGAAATAAATCTATCCAATTTAATCATGCATCATAAAATAGAAGCATTTTAAGAAAGTACGAGTATTAAAAATTTTGACCAAATAAATATTTTATAGCAAATATAAATAAATAAATAAAAAGAGACAATCTCTTTAAATAGAGAAAGTGTTACTCCGATTTAATAGTAGTCATTAGACTTAAAAATTTTGTATAAAACTCTTACAGTTGAATTATTTTTAAATTTTAGAATGATGCATTGTAATATGTCTTTTTTATTGATTTCCACAACATTTCGACAAATAATGTTGTGATGATATCATTAAATTGTAAACATTTTTAAACAAGAAAACTTTTGATACTCTATTATATTATAGTAGATTTGCTCAGCCTTTTTTATGATATTATAAATTATGAGATATTTTCTTAATTAGATTTTACATCAATTACGGTTAAGTTTGTCGACTTTTATGATAGGTCAATGTTGAATTATGTTTAATCTTTGGTTGTCCTAAACACCAAACTCTTTGAGTTTACTAGTTGTTCGTGTCCTATGTCATACAAAGAAAAAAAAAAGTTTCTAAGGATGCTAATTAAACCTCTAAGTTGATCGATTTGCTCTACCTAATTATGTGTTTTTAGATTTTATGTGATGAATTTTATTTTGTGTTTCTATGAATGAATCAATCCATTTATATTTATGTAATTGTTGCTGAAAATATAAGAAATTTCCTAGACTATGTAATGACGATGGATGAGGTCAAAGTTGTTATTGATTAATTTTCCTTTTAAAGCCAAGTCATTAAGTAAGCGTCGTGGGTGATTATTTGTAGTGACTGACGGAGGGGTGGAAGGTCGTTTCTAGGCATGGAATTATGTAACCAAGCGGCGTTGTTTCCACCTCCATACGTGGGTGTTTATGTAATTTCAATTCGTTTCCAGAACTTGCAGACTTACCTTCAATCTTGAACCAAACACCCTATGACGGCTTAGTTGATTTTATTTAAAAGAAAAATAAAGTAAAAGGATTTAAATCGGATGAAATTCATCTCGTGTATTTGCGCTAACCAATATTGTTTATGTTAATATTTTACTTAAATATGGTACAAAGTAAATTATATATTTCTCAAAATTACAATAAAATATTTATTTCATTTAACGTATAATAAGTCATCTAATGTTACATGATTAATAGAATTATACAAAAAGATTATTTTGTTTCAACTTTAAATAATATAAATATGTTTTGTATAGTATCTGAATCGAAGAGTTAAGACAGTACTCGATAATAAAAACATACCAAATGAATTTCATAGAATTTAAATTAATTTTGATGTGGTATAAAATTATCCTAAATAAATTGTTTCTATTCTATTTTTTTCCCCTAAAACTTCAACCATAGTGTTCTCTCGACTATAGCTTAACTATATCAATAGTTTGTCTCGAATGAATTATTCTCCTATTATGTGTCTAACATATCTCCGTTGTGGACAAGATTTGAGTTCGAGTCATGTTTACAATCCTCTAACCATAATGACATATAACTTCATTTTTTGAATAATCCTAAGTTTTAGGTTTTGAATACGTTGGTTTGGTCTTTAGACATTTTTTGTCAAGAAATCAACATAATCTAATTGTCTATGAAAAACTCAATTTCTCCGAGATTCAAAATAGTAAAGTTCATATTTGTTAGTGGTTAAAATTTCTTTTTTAACTCGAATGATTCATGGTTCTTGTTTCTTCATGCTAATACAACATTCAATGAAAGATCCAATGTCTTCACTTAGAATTTGTAAGGAAATGAATCTAACAAAAAAGATAAAATAGAAAGATAAGAATAATCACACAACACAAAAATTTACATAGTTCAATAATTATACCTATCCTATAGGTGTACTAAGAGTTCTTATTAGGGTTTTATCAAATGATGGTTATAAATACAAGATATGTTTTGGGAGCTCCACTCCCAAGCCCCCACAAGAAGCGTTGCCCCTTTGACTCTCGCTTGCTAACCGACTAGCGGGATCCGCATAGTGTCATAAACTTCGAGGTTACATTTATATCGGTTTTCATAACTTAATAATGTTTCCAAAAAGTCAACTTTGCAAAAGCTTCTCATTCTCTTAATAACTTAAATTGAGGTTAAGTGAAAGGTTGTTAAAACGAAGAACATGATAGACAAACTAATATAAGCATGCTTAATTCTAGTCATGCATGCGGATAAATCGAGCATGATATAAATGTAAACTATAAGTTACACTTATATATCGGTCTTCATAACTTAATAATGTCTCCAAATGGTCAACTTTGCAAAAGCTTCTCCTTCTCCTAATAACTTAAATTGAGGTGAAGTCAAAGGATGTTAAAATGAAAAACATGATAAACAAACTAATATGAGCATGTTTAATTCTAGTCATGCATGCGGATAAATGGGGCATGAAATCAGAAACCAAGTCGAAAAAAGGGCAAAAAGAGACTAAATTGAGTTGTATGCGTTATTTTGATGACAAAATTGAAAGTTTTACTGTTTCAATGAAGGTTTGTTGACTTAAGGCTGTAGAAGATCAAATTGAGTATAGCTTGATGATCAAGTAGCAAGTTTAGAAAATTTAAGAAATAGAGAGAATAGAAGTTGATTAGTGAGGGACTGGTTGGCAAATTCTTAAAAAGGTAAATAAAAAACACAAGGGCTGAATGATTGGAAAAAAAAAACATAGGGACCCAGCAATTATTTTTATTTCATTTTTCTTTGACCTGTAATTATGCCATCTTGATTATTCTAAGTGAAGGAAATATATACTTTATGAAATAGTAATATTGGATTACTTGATATGACACAATAGACAATAATCTAATTAGCACAGGTCATGATGATTTTAAGGGTAAATGAATGAAAAATTAAAAAAATATTGTTAATACTAATTAATTAACCACCAACTCATAAGCCAAAATGATGGCTAATTAAACCTCACTTTTGAGATTATTAGTCTAAATCGCCTTAATTTTTTTCTATTTTTTCAATTCGAACTTTGAGACAATATTTTAAAAAAATTATTAATTTATTTTTTAATCTACTAAATCGATTGGGGGTGAGCTCTTAAAATTGTCCGAAAAAATGACTTTTTTTCAACTCATGAAAAAAAAAAAGTACCTTGCAGTTATTTTATTTTATTTTATTTTTCTCTGATAAATATCCTGCAATCATGTAATCTTGATTATTCATGGGAAGGAAATATATACTTTATGAAAATAGTTATATTTGACTATTTGCTATGACACAATAGACAATAACATTCTAATCAGCACAATTCATGATGATTTTGGGAGAAAATGAGCCAAAAAAATTAAAAAACTTATTAAAAAAAAAACCTTGAAAAGATATTCGTAATACTAATTAATTAATCATGAACCATTAGCCAAAATGATGGCTAATTAAGCCTCATTTTGAAATTATTAGTCTGGATTGTCTTAATTTTCTGTTTTTGGATCCATAAATAGATTAGAATTCTAAATCTTTCAGAAAAAACCATTGTACACAACCAACATGGCTAGCTAATTGGTATGTGAGCGATTTTATCGTAATTGTATTACTCGTAAAGAAATTGATCAGACAGTTAAGAAGGTATGCTATTTTTCTTGATTTTATTGGTTCAAACTTTGAAATAGCACTTGAAAAATACCAAATCGATGGAGGTGAGCTCTTACAATCGTTCGAGAAGATGACTTAGTTTCGATGGATGAAAACATTCCTCTCGAATTGAAAAAAAAAAAAAAAACAAGGTTTGCTACTAGTACTGCATAATGAGTCATCACAGGAATAGTTGTAACGATTAAAAGCAACGAATTCTGTAATGTTGCAACAAATATATTAATCTTGTTTCGATATAAACAACTTGGCCTGCAATATTCAATCTAGCTGAGCTTAACATTTTCTCACTTGTCCATACATGGAAGCCAGCAGATACCTGCATGGCTTTAGCATTATAAAAACCAGCTCCTTAGACCCTGGCACGGTTCGATAAAGTAGAGGGTTAATTAGTTCTGTAACAGAAGAAGGAAATATGGCAGCACCAACAGGTGATGGATTGCGAGTCAGAAGGAAGTCATCATCAAGGGGACACCACAGGTTTGTTGGCGTTAGGCAGAGGCCATCAGGGAGATGGGTGGCAGAGATTAAGGACTCGTTGCAAAAGGTTAGGCTCTGGCTTGGAACTTTCGATACTGCTGAGGATGCTGCAAGAGCATATGATGATGCAGCTCGGGCCTTACGCGGTGCTAATGCTCGTACGAACTTCGAATTGCCTCAGCCCGCACCAAATTCTGGTGCTGGCCGTGTTCCTCTTGAAGAAGTTGAGCCTTTCTCGTTTGAGGAAGTTTGTGGGACAGGAAGGGAAGCAGAAGGGATTCTTGGAGCACTCAAAGCCAAGTTGCTTGACGGCAAGGGATTGCCGGTGCTTCCATCTGCTAATTGCTCTCCAAGTGCGCAGCCTGACATGGCTGCAAGTGTTTCCCACATAAACAATTCGAAGAGAGAGCTGGCTTTGACAGCTCCTATTCGTCGCGGAGTTGGAACGGTGAATGCTATTCAGGATCCTGGTACTTCAGGATCAGCTAAGATTGACCTTGTCTTTGATCGTGATCATGGTGACATGATGGCAGGTCATGTTGAGGCAGCCCAGTGGAATCAACCGTGCCAAACTACTGCAACAACAAACTTGGAATGGCCAAGGGAACCAGCACCGTATGAAGTCTCCTGGGACACACAGATGAACCATATTTCCGATCAGGCTGCTTTGTATACCAGTATTACTGCAATAGCTACTTCTGCCTGGCCACTCTCTGCAACAACTCAACCAAGTATTGATTTGATGTATTCAAATCCCTGCTCCACTGAGATGCCTATGAACAGGATTAGTCGCACGATTACGACACGCATGCCAACATCTCAAATTGATGGATCAACAGAAGGTGTTTGGTCTACTGAGCAACAATTCCTGCACTGTGATACAAGTGGTTGGACATGGGATCCCTTTCTCTTGTATCCTCATTCCTCAGTGTTAGGGTGACAGTGGATAATGGTGCATGTCCTCCATTGTTACTGTCGTTTCTCTCTTTTCTGCTGCTGTCCATAACTTGAAACCAGCAACAGTTACCAGCTAATCATTCTTTTACATGTGCATCATAAACTCCCACTTATATATAGGGCTTTAAGCTTCTGGAAATTTTTTTCCCAGGGAGTGATCAGTTTGTGAAATTTGCCCTTTACATCTAATATACCAAAGCATGTTTCACAATCTTGTATTTATTGGAGAAATTGTATTGCCTCGACTATGAAGTTATTCTTTCTATTTTTAATCACAAAAATGGAAAAAATTTCCTCTGAACCACAAAAGAATAGAGAACAGTTCGAGTCTGTTCCTGCAGCTTAAGCACTGAAGTTTTAGCTAGTCACGGTTCAAGCAGTAAAAGTAAACTTTCCATTTCTTTTCTTATTTTCCAAAGGAACAGGAATCATTTGCAAGAAATGGTAAGGCTAGCAGGAGGAGTCTAGACTGTAGAACTCCTAGGTCATATGGATGAAGACAAATGAATAACAGTTCATATCCTGAAGTTTGAATGGCTAATAAGAACGTCCAGAACTGGCTTTCGTATTCACAGTAAATTATTGATCTAGCATGACATGAAAGATTACGATAATGTATCGATCCAGCATAAGATGCGAAGATTACGATGATGTTATTTCAGCTGAATGTTTCAGTACTTTCATAGTGAAGTACAATTGTCAGGATTTACGTCCATAAAATAAAAAAAGTGGGTTCCAGCACACACTCTATTGAAGCCTGGAAATGCAAGATGACTTTTTCCTTGTGATCATCATTGAAACGACAACCATATCAGGAATCTGAGGATATATCAGCATACTAAAATATACTATGATTTAGTCCATCTTAGTAAGCAGTTGGTAGGGACAACAGCAATGGCCCTGAAGTTAAAAGCCAAAAAAAATCAGATTAAGAAAACAAAATAACATCTTGTTACTTCATTCGGACTTAGTCAGGTAGATGCTATCATTAAATGTTTCTTTGTTCTTGACATGGCCTTTTTGTCCCAATGCTGTGAAATGATAGAGACCGTGCGAGCCTGACGAGGTTAATTAAACACAATATTTGCTATTGAGGATAGTGTCTGAATGAAGAATCCTATAGTGCCCGTAAGTGACTATAGTTTTATCCTGTATCCTGCTCCCTTGGGAAAGGACAGAAGGGATCAATTAGTTGAGGGTCTTAATCATCATTAAAATTGACAGATTATCTTAATGTGTTTTAGGTGGAATGCTCAAGTAATCACACTAAAGAACATAAAAATATTCAACATATTTAACAAAGTAGATTAAAACTTTGAGAAACTCAAATTTATTGGTTGAGGGCCTTGAGGCTGAGTAACTGGCGATTCTGTCATTGTTGCCATTGGTTGTCTTGGTTGATGACAACTGCCTGACTAGGATTCTATAATTAAGAATTAATCCTGTCATTAACTAGATGTCAGATTCCTGATGATACATTATCAGAAGAGACGTTTTTTATGCACTAAAATGGAAAAGAAAAGGAACATTATATATGCCATCATTGATTGGACTAGTCCTATTGGAAGAACAAAACAAGGAATTGTGCCTTCATTTTTATCACATGGCAATACGATATGTGCTTATCTTGAAGATTCAAGAAATCCATGGCTACGTTATATGGTCCATTACAATGCATTTATTTCCCAAAAGAGATCAACTGGGACCTGCTATCTGCTATCGAAACGCAGATGGTACGGCTGTACAAAGATGATAAGCAAAAGAATGGTTGTGACCCTTCCTCCAGAAAGTTGTCAGCTGGAATATAGAATCAGGAACAGGTTCTTAACGGTACATTATAAAGAAAAAAGAAGAAGTGAAGGTGGAGGGGGTTTTAGGGCCTTAACCATAAAGTTCAAAGATGGAGACAGTTGACATATTCAATATCTTGAAAGTGTAAAAGCATCTCTTTGCGAATCCACACAACAGTATTCCTCCTGTTGCCTACTCAGCACTCAGCAGCAGCCTACTGAGCGTAAAAGTTCTCCCCATTAGAGATGAATAATTACAGGAACTTTTAGCTCAAGATCCCCCATATAATTTGCACTCAAAAAGTACAATCTCTCAGACTATTACATGTGCTGCGTTTGTGTGTTGAATTTTTACTGGCCAGATATGAAAGAATAAGTACTGACAACCAAAAGATTGGAATGAATGACTGAAGTGAAATTTGATTTAAGTATAGATGTAAGCCATGAATTACTTAAGTGAGATAAAGGGGAATACTTTCAGCTTTGAGTACAAATCTAGGAAACGATAAATAGGAGACAAGTAGGTGTAAAAAATGACTTTAAGACATTTGAAGTGGCACCAATAGTGGACCAGATAACTCAGCCATTGGACTGTAGGTATGGACAGCGTATAGAATTCTTCCTAGTTGCGGTGTCCATTTAGGAGATTGTTGCTTTTCCGAACTATGCTTTCCGGTATTTACGAGAAGATTTCACATATTGTTTTTGCTCTGCACATTGTAAATGCAAAAACTCTCAGATTCAACCTAATTTAGAAAAGGAAAAAAAAAACCAATATAGTTTTGTAGCAATTAACTGCAATACTATCTCTGTGATTGAGGAAATTTAGACATTTTCATGGATGTACATTTCTCTACCCCTGAATGTAAAGGATGCTAGTCTTTCTGTTTCCAAGAGATGATGAAGTATTAGATGCTATGTGCAGGAGCCTCCACTCAAAACATTCCATTAAATTACATTTAGTTCTAATAATAAACACATAAAGAACATCATGCACCCAGATAAATCCTAGAAGAAATGCAAAAGAAAAACTCCTGACCAATATCTACTGCTTCTACCACTTCGGCTGATGAAATCACGCGTAGATGCTTCACTGTTTTGTATGAGCCATGCTAAATGATTCTCTTGTAATCTTCATTTGTTCGAAACTATCGGTCAAAAGAAAGTGTAAAGGAGAGAATAAATATTAAACTATTGTCAAAGTTGGTTGCTTAAAGCATTGATGTGATTTGAAGAATTTAATCTTGCTTTCTTCCCACTTATTCCAGAGTCCATTTATTTAGAGCAATAAATCTGTACATAAGTTGTGGTGTCTGATAGAGGGAATTGGTCAGAAAAGAGAGTGATAAGAGAGGTTTTACTCTACTTCTTTCAAGAGTGCTGAGTTCAAATATGGCTGACTTAAAGAGCTGTAATGAATGGAAACCTTTCATTGCAATGATAACGATTGAGTTTGCTTTTGCCATTGTGAATATTCTTCTCAAGAAAGTCCTTGATGAGGGGATTAACCATTTGGTCCTTATCACATACCGCCTTTCAATTTCTGCTATTTTCTTGGCTCCAATTGGCTACTTCTGGGAAAGGTATAGTAGCTCTTTAGTCCAACATTCTGCTTATTTGTATTTTGATTTCTCTACTCTACAAACTTACGCTCCTCCTTGGAATAGTTGTATATAGGCATGCAGGTAGCTAGCTAGAATCAAATGTTTTTGGCTAAGTTAATGAATGAGGATTGAAATTTTTCTTGTAGCTTTCTGATGCTACTTTTCAGATTTTAAAGCAACAGATCTTATAAATCAAGCTTGCTTGCAGGGGTAGCAGACCGAAGCTCACATTTCGCATCTTATGTTACCTGTTCCTCAGCGCGATCGTCGGGTGAATATTGTTTAAGCCTTTTCAAGTTTTCAATATCCTTGCCACTAATATCATGGAAGACTTCGAACTAATTGTTTCTTGCAGGGCATCACTGACACAATACTCCTTCCTTCTCGGCATTCAATATACATCTGCTACATTTTCATGTGCCTTCATCAACATGGTGCCTGTCATTACATTTATAATGGCACTCCCATTCAAGTATGAACAATAGTTTGCTTTCGACTTCCATGGTTTCGAAAAGTCCTATATTCTTACATCAAAGGCTGGCAGCGTTAACTTTCTTTTCTTTCCTGGCAGAATGGAGAATGTTCATATAAAATCCAACAGCGGGAAAGCCAAAGTACTCGGTTCCCTGGTGTGTGTTGCAGGTGCCATGCTGTTGACTCTTTACCGAGGAGCACCATTGTTTAGCCACTCAGCAAATCAAGCTGTAACTCGAGCCATGGATCATGGTGTAAAGTTGAGCCATGCCAAAAGGACCGAAAGATGGACCTTTGGTTGTATAGCTTTGCTTGTAGGAACCTTGTTGTGGTCTTCATGGTTTGTACTTCAATCACATATTGGCAGGAGATTCCCCTGCCAATATTCTAGCACTGCCATTATGTCCTTCTTTGGTGCCATTCAATCAGCTATTTTATGCTTCTCCACTAAGAGGAGCCTCTCCATATGGGTTCTGAAGGGGAAAATTGAAATTATAACTGCCCTGTATGCTGTAAGTACACCCTTCACAAGCTGAAATCTATAGTGCCATTACTTTATGTCTCTTCATTACCAAACTATCGGTTTATCCAGGGAATGATTGGATCAGGCTTGTGCTATGTTGGCATGTCATGGTGCGTTAAGAAAAGGGGTCCAGTCTTTACAGCAGCATTCAGTCCCCTAGTACAGATAATGGCAGCCATGCTTGATGTCCCTATCCTCCATGAGGAACTCTATCTTGGCAGGTAAACTTTCTAATCGTTCTGGCTCTATTATTAGTTGACTCTTGAATAGTACTAAATGCTGGCCTTTCGTTTTTCCACAAATGGGATTTGGACGAGCAGTTTGCTGGGATCCATCTTTGTAATCATTGGCTTGTACGTTCTTCTTTGGGGTAAGAACAAAGAAATGCAGAATCATGCGACGAGAGTAGCCCAAGAAGCTGAAGAGATGAAGGAACAAGAACCACCTTTACCAGTCATCACTGTCTCTTGTGATTCAAGATGTCCTTGAGGCCAGACTAAATGATTTTTCCACTTTCGAAGAAAATCCATGTTTGCTACTAATTGTACCTTCCTTTAAATTTCACAACACAAGAATAAAATTCAAAGCGAAAAATCTTCAGCTTCATTCCTACTTCTGTCTGCAAAATAAAATAAAAAAAAACGAATTGAGAAAAAATCGGATAGAAAGAACTACTTGCTATGGTGGCAAAGGTTGTGATTTGCGAGTCCGGAGTTTTTTTATAAATATATTTACAGGAAGTGGAGCATCCTTAACCATTTTTTACATCAATCGAGATTAAGTCTACCACTTCTTTGGTAGAGCTCTACGATCAAATTTACAAATACTTTTTGGAGAATTAAGCTGAAAATTCAGATATCGTAGGTGGATAAGCCTTATTACACTATGACCTCTTAGAGATCGCAAAAATTAAAAATGTATGTGTGTGGAGTTACCACTTTGTTTTCAAAAGGTGAAAACTAAAAAAAAAAAAACTAGCATTGATATTAAGATTTCTAAGTAAGAGGGTTGGTTACATAACTAGAGAAGACTGCAATCACTTTAGTGTGCCCTTGACATAAGGTTACCTTGTATTTCTAACTTAGGAAAATTCATTCATACAAATTACCTTTTCTATCCTGCTTTGTATGTTCGATTATTTGAACTTTTTTCTAATCAAGTCCCAAGGGAGGTGATTCGAAAACTAAAAAAAAACTCGATCTCTCACCTAATATGTCATTGGGTCATTAGAGCTCATTTGGAAAGGTAAAAATTAGGATTGAAAGTCCATTGCACATTAAATCCTAGTCCTATAAAAACACAAAAATAAAAATAATATGAACATGGATCCATTTCCAAATTCACCAACCAAACCATAAAAAATAAAAATAAAATAAAATTACAAGTCTTTAATAACTTTTTAAAAAATGGATATATCCGTCATGTCATTTTAAAATATTAAAATTGGATCCTAAAACCCAAATTCGAATCTAAATCCGCGAGACGAAAAAAATTAGTAGCAAGCATGAAAAATAATTAAAATTAACTATAAATAATAAATAATAAAAATAAAAATAAAAACTAATAAGAAAAAGGTCCGTCATTGGAACAAAGTTTGTCTCAAGTCCTAAACCTACTCCATCTAAACTAATATCACGTAAAATAAATGCACAAAATACAAGACATAAAAACATGTAAAAAAAAAATCACAAATCACATAAAAACGACCTCACTAAAAAAATAAAATAATCGATAGGCCTCCATAAGGTCCGTGGCCTACAAATTCATATTTGGCTTATTTTAATTTTTTAAAAAAATTGCTAACTTCGTTGCTACCTTCATCATTGACCGAAAATTCCCCATAAACTTTTATAGAAAATAATATAATAAACGATCAAGTCATTACCCTTAATCTCGTTTTTTTAAATAATAATAATAATAATATATAAAAATAAAACAAACCCTAAAAATATTAAATATTCTCTCCCCAATAAAAATCACCCTTTATCACACATACACATCAACTAATTTAAATGTTAATTCTTTTAAATCGTCGGATAACATCAACAATTCTCAATTTAAATCTTTTCAATTAAGTCCAAATTAAACAATTTTAATTCAATTAACCATCCCAATCATATGTTAATCACATAATTCATATTGTAGAACATAAATCAATAATATAATCATGCAATCCATAAAATTTTGGATAAAACATAAACAAAAAAATATTCAAGCATAGGGGTATAATTACAAAATCGAAAGTTCAAGGATCTGAATTGGACACAAACAAAACAAGAAGAAGGAGATAGACCTAGCACATTTTGTGTGTATGTCAATCTTTTTGGGTTTTGTTTTTTTGACTATTAGGTTTTTTATTTTTTTCTCTCCTAGGTGGTTGTCTCTCCCCTTTTTGTATGTGTGTGTGCATAGTATTTATAGGGTTGCTTATAAGATTAACTTAAGATTTCGTTCTCTCTTTTATTATTAATCACGCTTAACCCAATGTCTAATCTAGTCCCATTCCTCTTTTTTTTTTCTTTTTTAATCCTAATCTAGGCCTAATTCCTCTTCTTCTTTTTTTATGGGGATAAAAATAGGATAATGAAAATTGTCCCCTCTTTACAATGCTTATACGTCAAAGATGTCAAAAGATAAGTTTTTGAACATCTTAGCTTAGTGAGCTAGTAAAGAAAAGATATGGAAAAAAATGACAAACTCGGAGAAATGAACCGCTTATGGGTGATTCAACTTTAGAAATGAATCAACTATATGAACTGTCTTTGGGTGATTTGATTTTTAGAAATACAAAAATATACAAACTCTCTCGAGTGAAGCAATCAAATGTATGATCCCTCTTAAGGAGACTTGACTTTAAAAAGAAAATCAATCAAATGGATGAACCTTCTTGGAGGTTATTTGATTTTGAAAAAGAAAATCAATCAAATTTACAAATTCTCTCAAAGTGATTTGATTTTAGAAAAAAGAGTTTATCAAATATACAAACCGAAGCAAATTCATCAAAAATACGAATCTATATGAGGTGAACAAATATATGAATCCTCTTGGGATGTTAGAATTTCATCAAATATAAGAACCTTTATAGGGTAAAGCAACTCCATCAAATATACAAACCCTTATGGAGTGAAGAAATATATGAATCCTCATGGGATGTTGGACTATCTCCTTAAGAGAAAGATTGATGATCTCGAAAGGATGATTACTTGGATATTTTAAAAAAATTAGTCATCTCAATAGAGTAACCACCAAGATTTTTTTTCAAACTTGGTCATCTCAACCAGGTGACCTCCCGAATGCTTTTAAGAAATCAATCATTTTAACAAGGTGATCACCTAGACGTTTATGATTGCATGACTTTATAGAGAAGAGATGTGATTGAAAATAGATAAATTGGTTAGCTATTACGGGATGACCTCCTAGCGAATGGTTCACTATGATAGAGTGACCTCCTAACAAATGATTTATTATTACAAGGTGACCTCTCGAGAACCGATTCACTATGATAGAATGACCTTCTAGCAAATCATTCACTATGATAGGGTGATCTCCTAGCAACTAGTTTATTAAGATAGAATAACCTCTCAACAATTGGTTCACTAAGACATGGTGACCTCTTAGCAAATGGTATAAAAAGATAGGGTGACCTTCTAGTAACTAGTGCATTATGATAAGGTAACCTCTTGACAAATGGTTCATTATAATAGAGTGACCTCTTGGTAAATGGTCACTAAGACATGATTGCCTCTTGACAAATAATACACTAAGACAAGGCGACCTCCTAGTAATCGGTTCACTATGTTAGGGTGACCTCCTAATAATTTTGAAATTTGGCCATCTCGACGGGATGACCACCTAGATTTTCTTTTTGAAATTTGGTCATGTTGAAGGTTTTTTTATTCCCTTGCTCGAGTCTCTTTATCTATGGTAGTTACGGATTGTATATTATATGAGTTAGTACCTCTAAGAAAAGTCTAGGTCGCACCTTGTAAAATTCAACTCGTGTCAAATTTGGAGAATCGGCTTAGATTTTATGTCTTGACTACTAGTTTAATAGAGAGTCTAGAAAAGATGTTATATTCGGTTTGTCGTTGTTCCGCTCTACCATAAAAATATGATCTCCCTCCTATCATTGGGTCATGCTGCCCTCTAGTTATAGTCATGGCTTTAATATGAATCATCTTCGTGCCTTTTTGCTTACTCGTTGAATTCTTGATCGGATGATTTGTGTGCCTTCATCAAGCATAGACACATGTTGAACTCGTGTTTACCACCAAGATGCTTACCAATTGATCATGTCTTGTTATTCTCATACCGATTAAATTTCATTCATTTCATCATCAAAGAACACTTAGTGTCATCTTTTTGCCCATTTGTTCAACCATCATGCCATGGATCTAATTATTTTTATGTCATTTACCTACCCCCTAGTTTAACCGATATGCTACTAGTCATGACTCTTAAATTATAATTTTGTTTAACTAATTACCTACAATCAATGTCATCCTTGATGATTTACTTATTCAACTCTTAAGTTCGCACATTATAAATTTGGTTTAATTTAGCAATAACATCATGAAATAAATCATTATATTTTGAACGAAGTAGCAAACTTTAATAGAATTTTCCTTATTATTTTAGATTATTATAAAGAAATCTTATAGGTGAACATTATAAAGTATTCTCATTCATGAATAGTTTGACTAATTGGTCATAAATCAAAATATATCATTCAAATACTATGTTGTACATGTTTAGGTTGTAAAAGAGTTTTTATAAATGGATATCATGTGGTACTATTTACAAAGTGATCAAAAGTTTTATTATGTTAAAAGTAAAAGACTCGAGTGGTATTTTTATAAAATATGAGGTCATATTTGGAATGGATCGAGCTCAAAATATGGTTTGAAATGATAGCCTTGCTTTTTTTAACAATTTGATGCCATATATAGTGATGTAGAACATGCAAGTAGATAAAAAAATCATTCTCTTTTTCTAATTGCAAATACAATTTATTAGCCTAAATAGCTCATTTTGATTAAAAAGGACTTTTAAAAGCATGTAACGTAGGCTGATATTAGGGTCTCAAAGAAAAAGGTATAAATGCTTAAAGTGTGTTTGAGGATTTGAAGACTAACGATACTTTAACGATCGCAAATGCTTCCTTTTTACTTGATTGCTCTTGTAAAATCCTTATTGTTGTTGTTGACTTCTTTTGAATGGTGCCTTTTATTATTTTTTCTTTGTGTCTTCTAGTATATGAAGTATGAATTGCATTTCTTCTTGAGTTGCTAATTAAGACAATTGATTCTTTTCTTAATAGAATAAAACCATCTCATCAAACAGACTCTTTATTTTACTTTTCGACTCGTTTTTCTTTTCACTTTCTCGCCCTTAATTTTTTTTTCTAATTATTGACTTCCTAATCGGAGTAGCTCCACTTAATTCCTCATATCTTCTTATATGATGACCGGATGCCTATAATCATCTTC